AACGTGTGACCTCAGGTATTCGATCTGTGTCCCCTTCAGGGCTGTCGCCTCTGCCATCAGGCTCTTCAAGCCGCGAGGCGATCTCGGCCCCTTCCTTCCGCACAGGCAGCCTGAGCGGGTGGGGACCCTTCGGCACAGCAAGGCTCCTCGCGTCATGAAACCGCCCGTCAAAACAGAAAGAGACTCCGTTCTCAGGGCCTAAAGCATTGATTTTTATGGCTCTTCTTGTAATTCTCTTTCTGAATTAGGCACATGGTATTGATGTGGACCTACTTTTTAATCATAATAGCCACTGACAAGGTAATTAATTTTAAAACAACGCTTTTTTCCTGCTGGCCCAAATGGCACTATGTTGAAATTAAAAGCGAGGGCTGTGGGCCGCGGTCTGGCACTCGGGCGGCTGCTTCCCGTGACAGCACCTCCATCTCGCCTCGGACGGCAAAGTTATTAATGGGCTCAGGCCATTACATCAAAAGGAGCAGGGCACGGGAAGATGATAAAGTTTAGGGTTTTAATGATAGAATTACAAGATCCGAGACAAGCTGATGAAATCACGCCACCAGTCACCGCGGGCCACCCCGTCCGTCACCAGAAAGAGGCTGCGGGGGCCGGGTTCCAGGAAGGCCGCCAGATGCAGCGTTCTCTCCCTCCGAACCCCCAGAGCTCTTTAAAGTTGATTTAGTCCCATATTAAATCTGAAATTTGTTATCTTTTAAAAAGGAAATTACCTCTAAAGGGATTCTGCCATTTAATTAGCCAAGTAGTCTTTTGCTTCCCCGGCGCAGTGTCGGCCGTCTGCCCTGCTTCCCGGTCCCTCGTTTCCCGCCCATCTGTCAGGGCGTGGACGGTCAGCCGGGGTCAGCCGGGCTCACGCTTCACCCAGATCGTCTGACGCCCGCCCGCCTCCTCATGCCTCCCAGGAAACCGCCCGCGTGGGGACTGGGGCCCAGGCCCGGGCCGGACCTCCTGCGCGTCCCTCATGGCCCCCTGGAGCAGGAGAGCTAGTGTGGCCGTGACCTCCAGCGCCTTCAGGCACCTTCCAAGGCTTCGACCCCAGGAAATGTGGAGCTCCAGCCTTTCCTGCCGCAGGGCTGGAGCCCGGCTTTCCAAGCCAAGATTTAAGGCGAATGCTCTGGCTCGAGAAATAGTTCAGGATCGAGGGGCGCTGTGAGTGCTCTGGCCTCGCGTCTGAGCCGTGTCCCCGTCGCCTTGCTCAGGTGTTGCATGTGACCCGACACCACGTTAAGTGTAAGAAGCCACGAGAGAGCGGCCGGTTCGCCTGTGAATGCAGAGGTTTCTCCACTTGCCACACCGACTTTTCTCGAGGACGTTGTGCTCTGGGCTTCTTAATAAACAGAAGCTGATACACCCTCAGGATAAAATGTGTAGGTTTAAAGTGTCTCTGCCCAGGAAGCATGACAGCTCGCCCTCCTTCCTTCAGCAAATCAAGTCGAAGCTTCGGTTTGCTTTAGTTTTTCTTAAAAAACAAATAAAAAGAACGAAAGAAAAGAGAAGTCCCCATGAGTGACCTGAGGTCCGAGTGGCGGTGGTGAGGAGGTGCCGTGCGACCGCTGAGCCCAGACCTCGCGGGGTCCCAGGCGCGGTGTCAGCTTGCTCCCCAGCCCCCTGCCGCAGGGACACCCCAACGGGCACCCCCCCAGGCTCCTGTTTGGAGGCAGCCTTGATGGGCCGGGGGCGCAGGGGGAGGGGGCTGAGGCCGGGAGGTGCCCTCAAGGGCCTCCAGGCGGGCTGGGGCCAACGGGCCTCGGGGAGCTGAAGGGACTGGCGGTCCTTGTGCTGGGGCTGCGCGGCTGCTGGGCGCAGAGCAGGTGACGTGGGGTCCCAGAGCCGTGAGGCTGGAGGGTGAGGGCACGGGGGGCAGCCCCTGTGCCCACCCCCAGGCACAGGCCCCGGGGCCGCAGGCGTCTCTGGCCTCCGCACACAGCCAGCAGTCACTTGGCAGGGCTGCAGTGAATAGTTCCGTTTGGGGGTTTTTTAAAGAGCAGTGTGGCGGAGCCCCAGTGGTTGTGTCTCTCTCATCCGCTCACTGGTCCTGGGAGGCGGCGCCGGGAGGGACGTTGTTGCTTCTCCTTTCCTGGTGGGGCTTGTGCACCGGGTCCCCCTCCCAGAAGATGGGCGACCACGGAGTCCATGCCCCGACGGGACACCCTGTCGGCCTTTCCAGGGACCTGTGCAGGTTCTCTGAGGTATTTTCTTCTTCTAAAGTTTAAGGGCAGAAGAGATTAACTTTCTTCAAGATGGCTTGGATTGCCTCCTGCTGACAGACAGTCGGTGGGGGTGGGTTCCTCCCCCTCGCCCGCAGGTGCCAGGCGGGTGCCAGGCGGGTGGGATGGGGTGGGGTACACGGCCGGTCCTGGATGTACGGCAGCCCCAGGGCCGACCCGCCGGCCTCCCTGTATTTTCATCCCTGAGCGATGTCTCCTCCACAGAAAGACTTGTATGCGGGCCTCTCACTGCTGTGGCCTCTCCCGTTGCGGAGCACAGGCTCCGGACGCGCAGGCTCAGCGGCCATGGCTCACGGGCCCAGCCGCTCCGCGGCACGTGGGATCCGCCTGGACCGGGGCACGAACCCGCGTCCCCTGCATCGGCAGGCGGACTCGCAACCACTGCGCCACCAGGGAAGCCCAGAAAGACTTAACTTTTCACACAAGAAGTGACGTCACTTGTTGGCTGCACTCTGTTAATGACAATCTGTTAAAATACGTCCTTTGTCTTCAACTTCGCATGTGTGAGAATCAATCCAACTAAACAGGAAAACAAGACTTTTTGTGGAATTCAGCTACGTGATACAGCAATTAACATGCAAGAAAATATGAAAACAGCTGAGACAATTCCTAGAAGAATTTCAACAAGCAGGGCTTCCCCATAAGAAGTCCTGTGATTTAAAAGCATATAGGAATAGATAAAAGATCTGCAGGAAAGGAGAGTCTCAAAAAGACCCATGTAATCTAGGGACTTCTGTTCTGTACAGACTCAAGGGGAAGAGGACTGAATGTTTAATAAAGGGTTTGGATCAGTCGACTGTTGGGAAAATCGATAAACTAAGATCCCTTCTTCACACGTAATTCCAGATGGATTAAAGGCTGCACTACGGGCCTCCCTGGTGGCGCAGTGGTTGAGAGTCCGCCTGCCGAGGCAGGGGACGCGGGTTCGTGCCCCGGTCCGGGAGGATCCCACATGCCGCGGAGCCGTGGCCGCTGAGCTTGCGCGTCCGGCAAGGGGAGAGGCCACGACAGTGAGAGGCCCACGTATTGCAAAAAAAAAAAAAAAAAGGCTGCGCTACAGACTCTGCCAGGAAGATGAGAGAATGACTTGTCGGGAATCAGCCTTGGGGGGAGAAGGGCCAGCAGCTGGGGGAACGTGGGCGTGTTTCCTGCGTGAAAATTAAGGCTCGTGCGTGACGGGTACCGTGAGCACAGACAGCGTCACCATCACACTTTACGGGGAAACTCTTGGAGTTGAAAAAGCAGGAAGCAAGGAACCAGAAAGGAAAGCAGGCCAGGCGCGAGCAGAAGCCACCAGCTCGGCGTCCCCTGGGGTGCGGACGGGACTGTCCCTCCAGCCCAGCGGCCACTGTCGTGAAACAGCGGCGATGTCATCGCTGTCAGTCACCTTTCCTTTCTCAGGCTACTGCATCAAGTTGGGAAGGCCGCTCCAGGGTTGGGGGCACGCCTGCTCCCTCTGCACTGGGGGCCGGACGGGGCAGGGCCAGCAGAACCCGGGTTTCTCGGTGCCGGCCAGAAATTTCTGAGTTGATCTGGGTGAGCGGTGCTCCCGGCTTTGCCCGCCTTTAATATTTATTTTCTCAGAGTCCATCGCAGCACGTGGGCCATGGGGACGGCGCCCCACGCTGCGCCCATGGGCCCTGTTGCTCTGTATCGGCGGGGGTGTCAGTGCAGCCACCAATGGGCGGTGGGACTGGGGACCTGGGTCACCGAACCTCCCTTCCCTTCTGCCCAGACCATACGTCTGCTCTGCGGGTTGTCTTGTTAGCCATGGTTCGCATTCTGCTTTGAGTTGGAGGCCAGGAGTCCTTTGCCCTTGAGGCCAGTGCAGCCGGGACCCTGCTGCCACCAAGGGCGGGGAGGGGGTGGGGGAATGAGTGAGCGGGGGATCGGGGTTCGGTGGTGTACTGGCCTCTTACCGGGGAAGAGAGGTTTGTACGGGGCCGGGGTGGGGGCGACGCTGACATATCACTGTCACGTTTGCCGTGTGTGCGTTTCTCAGCTGAAAAATCTCTATGAAATAAATTGTGATTGATTTAAAATATGTGGAAAAAGTTTTTTGAGCCAGGCAATACTTAGCTTAAAAAGAAAGACATAGTTGGGCTTCCCTGGTGGCGCAGTGGTTGAGAGTCCGCCTGCCGATGCAGGGGACACGGGTTCGTGCCCCGGTCCGGGAGGATCCCACATGCCGCGGAGCGGCTGGGCCCGTGAGCCATGGCCGCTGAGCCTGCGTGTCCAGAGCCTGTGCTCCGCAATGGGAGAGGCCACGACAGTGAGAGGCCCACGTACCGCAAAAAAAAAAAAGAAAAAATGACATAGTCGCTCTTACTTTGTAGCTTCCAAACATCCACGTGGGGATAAGCTACAACGCTGAGAATGAGGTCAGGTGTCCACCACCGATGGGAGGAACCATCCACAGGCCAGACGGAGGCGTCCTGGGCTCACGTGTGTCGCCCGCTCCTGGCAGCTCTCCCGTGTCTGGCGTGTGGCGTGGCCCTTTTCCTTCCTTGGTGCAGGCTGTCGTTGCCCGCCAAACGTGTTTTCATGGCCCCGGCCCAGCAGATGGGACCGCGCTGGCGCACACCTCAGTGCTGGCAAGCTGGGCGTGCCGTCTGGGGAATGCGTGTTGATCACCGTCACTGGG